TATTAAACTAGATAATGAGTTATAATAAAACTTGGTATAAAATGCCTTTTTTACTATTGTTAGTAGTCATTTTTTCTACAAACGTAGAATAAGGCGAAAGATAAATTTTTTGAAAAGATTTTTATATTGTTACGCCAGATACGTATAACTTGTTGCGCGCGTACATTAGTAAACACGTTTTTTTTTTTAAATTTAGAATAACAAGAAACGCGCCTGAATTGTTGGACATGCCTATTACCTACTGTTCAGCCGTGGGCAGGAGTGATGGCGCCGGCTGGGACGCCGTCAGCATTATCATTCTAATTTGAGAGAATAATAGACAAGCACGATAAGGACGTTGTGACGAGAGATAGACGCGATATTAATTAGCCACAAATTCATCCACTGTGGAAATTAACATGATCATTTTAACTTATCATTTATGTAACACAATAAATTTTCCTTTGCTTCCCGCTTTCTCGGAGAATACCTATTTAAAAGGTATACATAATAGGGTAGTAAACTTCTATAACAATAATTAAGTTCCCAAGGAAATTTTCGCAGAGAATCAGTAGAGAATCGTTCGAGTTGAATTCGAAGGCGTGATTTATTTCCTTATTTTTTTTTACCATTCAAAATGCTATAACCATTATAGTGTTGTGTTACATTGTAATGAAATTGAGCAACATTTGATCCGCAGTGAGACTTTCTAGGACCACTCACAAACTGTTATAACACGTCGCGTCCACCTAAATCATCGCTTAGCCTGTTTGTTTGTAAATATAACGACTATTCCTGCGCCGTTGCGCGGGAAGCAGTTGCATAACGTAAATTCTCGTTACTCCCGATCGTTGTATACAGCGTGTCGTTACCGACGCGACATTAAACGAACACACATATATAGGATAACTTTTTAAAATTGTATTAAAGATTTATATTCTTTAAACATCAATATTTACCGAGTTATCAAATTTTCCAAAACAAGGAATTTTAGAACACCCTTACGTATAAAACTGTAACGTAAAGTTCATTTGTAAAGGTCACAAAGCATATGAATGGGTTGAATGAATTTAAAAGAGACAAAACATATTGTTAGAAGGAGAGGAAGGTGTTGTAATGCGGCGCCGTGGCAACGAATGAAAAAGTATCTGAATGTATGAATCAGTCAGTTGTAGTTGTATAGGATGTTACAAATTTTGTTTCATTTTTACTTAATTAGTTTGTTTGAAAAAACAAAAATTTTAACGTTAATATTTTTTTATAATTCTTGGCAAGTACCGTTAGACGTGTGTTCATTTATTATCGCGATGGTAACGACACGCTGTATATTGAGAAAAACGACAAAAGTTTCATTCTATCGTCCCGCCATCTACCTCTAATTTTGCGGCATTTCGAATCCTGTTACCTGTTAGGATTTTACTATCATTATGTTTGAATAAATATTAAAATTAAATGTATATACCACGTAAGTAATGCGCTGATGTAAATTTATAAATTAATATTAAACCTAATACATGTATTTCATTTTGAGTACCTAAAGGTGAATGAACGTTATTTATTAACATTAACAATTAACGTCTCAATTTTTCAATTTCACTACATTATTCATTATTATACATATATTTAACCGTGAGTAGGTTCTGGTAAAAAAGAGAGGCTATCCCCCACGGTAATCAATCCTAATAAATTTATAGTATCTTCTATACAAATAAAATGATAGACATCTTGCGTTGTGCTCCCATCACAGAAAAACTACTGGATAGATTTGAATAATTCTCCTAAATTACTATTTCCTAGACACTTGTTCCTTATCTAAAAAGTATTTTGATATCTTCACTTAGTGTAAAGTTATTAAACTACGGTCTTTATAAGAACTACGTCTTCAGTGATGTGTTCTCTTGCCGTGGAGAAGTAGGGCAAGCGGTCTAGTCGTCAGTTTTAGCACTTGAAGCAATGCTTGGCGCAGCCATTGTTATTTATATATATATAGATTTTCTTCGGTGTGACAATCAACCGTTTAGCTTAGTGGCTAGAGCGTCAGGCCGCGAATGCCGAAGACGTGGGTTCGATTCCATCAACGGCGATAATCTTTTCGTACTTTTTCTACATATTTTAATGTTAAATCTTAAGTGCAAAGATTAGCACTTCACGCGGCCCGCAAAATCGGAAGAAGCGCAGTTCCCGCCATAGACTAATAATTATATACTGTGGTTCCAGCGCGTCAGCCGTCCATCTTGTCGGCGTCACGTCACCGACGAACGACACACTTCCAGCGTAATTAATTCTCATTAACGCTTCCGTCGATATTGTCACGCTGTTTGTAAATAGAGCGGGCTATATTGGGCGCCGCGGACTTGCGAATACGTATTTATAGGCGGGAGTCGATGACTCGGCGCGGCGTCTGGCATACGCCAAACAGTCAGTGAACCGACCCGTACGGGATATTCCATCCCCCGCTTCTTACGAGGCGATAACGGCGCGGTGCCACGCACTTCAAGATTGCGTAAATGGCACGGCCGAAATGGTACGTTTTATGTGGGGACGTGGCAAACGAGGTGGCGGTTCACCTGATGCTAAGTGATAACCGCCGCCCATTGACATTTGCGACACCCGTAGGATTCAGGGTTGCAGATGCGTTGCCACCTTTTAACGGACTCCGTCTATCTCATTCACCGGACGGATCGCAGAAGAATAACAATTCCACTTCATGCTGGCCTTCTGTCGTGGTACTTACTCGGATCTGCCCATTCGTGCAACAGCGGGGGCTGTTTCAAGGCCTTACCATCGTAGAAATTAACGAATCAGCTGTCAGATGGCTTTTCAAATGTCATTTGAGTTGCCAAATGGATGGTTAAACTCTCTGAATGATCTTCTTAATGAGCAGAATGAGCATTTCAAATATTTGATCATTGTTTCAGAAACCGGGCGTTAGTTGTTAGATGACTCCGTGGCGCAGTTCCCAACGGTATGGGCTTCAGAGCCGGGGGTGTACACACATACTTTTTTACGCACTTAGAAAGTAATACTTCTTTAGCGTCAATTTAGCGTAAAGACATAAAATGCAATATATAACGGTTAGTTTAAATAACTCGAAATTACTAGTAAACATCAAAAAGTTGTCGCATTGGTTCCCAAAATGTAATTGGTTACCAAGCATCACGTCGCTTTTTTAGGGTCGGTGTGCGCGCAAAAATTTTACTCCCATAATTTCTCCAAACGCGCCGAAAGAAGTACTAAAGTAAATAAGTTCAAAAATCTTACTATTCAGATGACTTTTTCGTAGGTTCGATTTGTCAACGATAGAAATATTAAACCCACAGATGATTTTTCTAGATTCTAGATCCTAATGAGCCTTAACGGGCATGCGGCTGGTCTTAAAAAATCTAGTCGATGTCATCAAGAACATGATTCACATGTTGTAACGACCTCACCTTAGGTAATAAAGGCAGGAGAAAGAAAAGGTCATCATCCTCTAGTGACTTGTTTATAGTACATAAATGTTAGCGTATGACGCGTCTATAGATGTTATTGGGGGTGTTACTTGTTTAACTATGTAAGGCGCGACGTAACATTGTGGTTTTGTTCGACCCCCGACGAAGCGACAGCTTTACGGTGTGAATCTCCCAAGATTATCCTGTTAGGCTATCGTAAACAAGTTCTTCGCTTTTTTAGGGTTGCGTACCCAAAGGGTAAAACGGGACCCTATTACTAAGACTCCGCCGTCTGTCTGTCCGTCCGTCTGTCACCAGGCTGTATCTCATGAACCGTGATAGTTAGAAATTTGAAATTTTTGTTTGTTTGTCCGTCTGTTTGGCTACTAGGTTGTGTCTCATGAGCCGTGATAGTTAGACAGCAAAACTTTTCTCAGATGATGTATTACAGTTGCCGCTATAACAAGCAAATACTAAAAAACAAAATAAAAGAATACTTAAGTGGGTCTCCCATGTAAGGGACATGATTTTTATGGATCGTCGATGCTCGTTTTTATGGATAATGGTACGGAAACCTTCGTGCGCGAGTCCGACTCGCGCTTGGCCGGTTTTTTGCCATTCTACGGCATCGCGGATCCGTTTTACGACACCGAGTTCCCGCCGTCCCGTATAAATTTATCGCAGAGTTACGAAACAAAGTAATGTTTACAAAAGGCGCACCCCACTCGCCGCCTCGTGTAATATCGATAATGTCAATTGCGAGGTTATTAAATTGAATTAACCCTACTCCGGTTGCTTTTATGCAAGCAGTTATATATTTTCCCTTTTTCTTCCATTAATATATACTATGACTTATTTTAATATCTCTATTGCACTCACTTTCTATGGTCATTACGGACGAATTACGAGACGTCAAATTAAGCAAACGTTATAAAACTACTGAACTTTCTCCTTATAGTCAAGTCTTTATAACCATACACTTGTTCAATAAAAACTCCTATTTTCCTCGACCGAGGGACGCCGGAGATGCGAACCTCTTCTTCGCATCTCCGGCGTCCCCAGCCACTAAGCCGCAAATATTATGAATAAAAAACGGCCAAGTTTCGACGGCCAAGACGGAAAAATTCGTGCTCGAGTCAGACTCGAAGTTTTCCGTACCATTATACATAAAAACGGGAAATAAATCATGTCTGTTGTATGGGATATTTAAGCGGGGCTTAATATTTTTTTATCTGTTTTTGTTATAGCGGCAACAGAAATACGTCATCTGTGAAAATTTCAACTGTCTAACTATCACGGTTCATGAGATACAGCCTGGTGACGTACGGACAGACAGACAGGCGGACAGCGGAGTGCGAGTAATATTAATCTCTTAGTTTTACCTTTCAGGTACGGAACCCCAAAAATGGGTGACTCGTTGAGTCACTAGGACTCCTAAGCGCGATCTTTCATCGCAAGACCGATGTCTTCGCCGCTAAGCTCTCACAGACTTAAGCTGACACCATACTTCAGGCTACAGAGTCTTAACCGTGATTATTGCAAGCAAGTAAGACAACGAACCGTAAAGAAATATCATCATCATCACCATCATTTCAGCCTGTTTGAGTCCACTGTTGAACATAGGCCTCCCCCATAGACTGCCACGAAGTACGATCCTGAGCCACCTGCAAACAAATATAACTTCAGTTAATACAATAGTGTGCCTGTGTGTTTAAAGTTATTGTTAGTTCTTGAGGCAGATAACAAATATCGATGAATAAGCTATTATATATTTGTATTCTGTTTTTATAAAGAAGACTCTGCTTCAAACGCTGGCTAATAAAACATAAGAAAACCGTATAGTCAATAACAACAAAGAACACAAAAGCTTAGCAAAAGTTGAGATCCGTGATCGGTCGCTGCAGTTAATAGTTGTTAAAAAGATCGACGGCCGACACTTGTGCCTCTATGATATCTTAGGTGCGCCTCGTTACTGACCTATGCCAGAGATTCTTCTATCTGTAACGTGCGATATGTTACAGATACAAGAAACTCTACAGATACAAGAAAGTGAAGAACGCATAATTAAGCTTTGAATGATTGCAAGCATCGTTATTAATATGAGGCACCTCGTCGCATAGCATATTTCAATTTGCGTACACTAGCCCTACATTTAAATAAAATTATGTTTATTCAATTAAGTCGTCAGCAATAATTGAGAGTAAATAGTTTTTATTCTTCATTAGCTTACGTCCGCTAATTCTTCTTTGTGGATTATGTAACAGAGTTAAAATGATAACTTAAATACCACATATAATACTTCATATCTTTTGAATCTCACAAGAAATGGAATAGTGTTATATTTTAATTTTTTGTTATTAGAAAGTTTAAGTTTTAAACCCTATAATTTAATCTGAATAATTGACTCACAAGAAATTATTGCACAAGAGATATTCCCCTAACATTTTCATTGAGTCGTTTAGATTAATAGTTTATCGCCTTGTTATTCGAGAAAAAACTTTAAACAGACATATAGATAATAATCCTAAAAACTGCCATTTGTGATTAGGAATCTAATAATTTGAAGAACTGCGAAAATCCATTATATGAGTCTTAAGTATGTTAGTACGTATACATAGTGTAACAGAGACCGACAGGGTTGAACTGCCCAGTATCGTAATTATTTATACGATACATACAGAATAGTAGTGGCTACGCAATAGCTGTGGCAAGAAAGGTTATGCTTGTTTAGGGAGGTACAACGGCCTCATAAAGGTACCTTATGGTCTTTTATAAGGCCGACTAATCACTTGACATTAAACGGAACGCCTGTTCGCTAACCAAATTTTTCATAAATAAAAAAGTACCGAAACCAGTATTTCGCTACTCGAGCAGCTTATAACCTGGGCCCCAAAGGATCATTAAAAAAATTATTTAAAGGGATAAAAACATGGACTGTCGCTCCTTAGTACATCCTTGAAAATTTTATGTTTGTCCATAAAATAAGAATGAATTTTCAAGACAGTAATCTGCATGATATTGCCACTAGGAACAAACATAAATTCATACTAGGCACAGCTAGACTGCGTAGAATAAGTACACCTTTCATGGGACAATGTATACGTTTCTACATCAAAATCCCAGAAAATGTTCAAAAAGTATTAATTGCTAAATCAAAAAATAATATTAGTGATTAATTAAATGATAACACACTTTGGAAACGAATTGATGGCTCTAGGCTCTTTCAAGTGGACTTCAATACATTGTAAAAATGTTTCTTTGTCAAATAATGGTACAAAAAAAATTTCCCGCTTAGTTTCTTTCGCCGGTTCTTCTAAGGTCAGTAGCTTTTCATTTCCGAACTCGTAGAAGTATCTTGACAAACAGTAAATGAGTGTAATAATCCTATGTTGAATAAAGATAATGACAATTTTTTCTTAATGATAATTTTAAAAACGTTGCCCTCACTTTAGGATAACATTATCCTGTGTTGTCAGGACGTTTTACAAACATAAATTGCACGAGGACTAACACCCAGATGCGAAACAACTAATCTGTGGGTCGCAAAAATAGTTGTCCCGTGTGGGAATCGAATCCACGACCCCGACGCCGAAGCCAATACATTGGCATCTGCGCCACGGAGTCATCAAATAATTACTTGAATTCGTCAATGGCTAGTGGCGATGACAGTCTTTCATTGTAGGATAGATTATATATAGTTTGTAATGATCAATTATGAAATAAGACAAGTTTATATGTGGGATGCAACGTCTTTTGTTACGGAACAAGTACGGCATACGGCTGGTCCGTTCTACTTGATATACAGAAAATTACCTAAGTCTCAAAGTTGACAATTTGTAATACCTGCTTGCATTTGTGTTTGTAAACTGCTTGCAATTCCTAATGATCATATTTCTATATTTATTACTTCCAATATTAGATTTTACATTATTGCAAATAGACCTGAACTCTTCCAACTATTTGAATTGTGGAAACAATTAAAAAATAGTTAAGAATGATATTGAAATTCAACTAAACTAAAAAATATTATTACAACTAAAAAATAAAACTAAAAAATCGTTATTAATAGATTTCACAATAAAAGCGAAGTCTAAAAGCAAGATAAAGTATATTGGACTAAAAATTCTACCTGGTCCATATCTCAAATATTTCAATAATGATGCATCTTCAAATTTTTCGAAATAATTAAATGAAAAACAAATGCACACACTCATACAATTCGACATTTACAATGTTTCAGATACAAAACTCGATGAAACGATGATTTTACAACACGCAGCCGCTCTGAAAGCAAAGAAAAAGCCGGTTGGAAACAGGCGAGAGGCATCGACCACCCACTGAAATCCAATATGATATGGCCGCAATGTTTTCTTTTAATACGAAACAAGGATCGTGTTCGTTCACTTGAAGCGGCTTTCATGTTCGAATTATTATGGACATCATTCTTCTTATTGCCACGGCACGATTGTGTTTGACTCGCTTAATAACGAATCATCTCCTTAATGAAATTTAACTGTGACAGTCATCATCCGATGATTATGAAACCATTTATTTGCGCGAATATTACGCAGTGGTGAATAATAGAATGTAAGGGATTGCATTGCGTTTAATTTGGATTTTTAACTATTGGCGTTTCGAACACTTTGACGAGCTCATGGTCACGGAACAGACTACAGACAAATTTTGATCATTTATTTTAACCGTTTTTCGCTAAATTACAGTGTTGCAGTATTGGTATTCTGTGCAGGTATTCAATTTTATAAATTATAGGATCACAAACTCAATAACTTACGTGATGTAGGACAAAGACCTACCAAATGTATTTTGATTGTAATTGGAATCTTTTTAAATCAAAAATATATTAACTTTGAAATTGTAAGGCTCCCAAATTAATTTTCGATTATAATTATGGTGACTAATTAATATAATGTTATTCTACATTACCAGTTTATGAAAAGAGATAAATAATATTTAATAGTTTTCGAATCTGTTCGTTTGTTTAGTGAGTGAGAAGATAGAATTTAATCTCTTCTCCCAGCTCCCAGAACAGTATCATTTTTGTTTCTGTTAGAAATAAATCCTGTTAATTAAAATACCTCTATCAGATTTAATGTGTAAACTTTCTGAAATCTTTATGACCTTTTATAGTGCACTTTAGACCCAATTTTGTGGTAGTCAGGTGTAAATTAAACTTCGGGAATTATTGGTAGCTACCATAATTTGCCACATTATGGATGAATTACTTGAGATGATTATTATATTACCTGTCCATTATAAGTTTTTGAGAATGTACAGTAACCAAGATAAATTCTTTCCAGACCAAGTCAATCGGTAGGAGTTCTAACGACACCCAAAATAAGACAATAGCCTCACCTCCTTCTCCTACATTTTAAGTGTTTTTGTTTACGGAGCGTGAGGTCTAACTTTTTCAGATCTATATCATGGTCTGTTTGAAGTTTTACGAGGCACTGGCCCTCACTGTATTTTGAAACGTTAGAATCTACATCAGCCACGATACGTTTTAGTCTTTGTCAAGTATTTTTTCAACACAATGTATAACATGGATGAATTTTCTCTAACAGAAGACCGGCTTAAGGAATATTTATAATTTTTCATTTCGACTGGGGAACGAGGAAGGTGGGGCCCACACGGTAGTTGCGAATCTTCACGAGCGTCACCTAACACCAGGTGGTCCACCTGTTCAAAAGAGTACAGCCAAAGAAGCCTCGGGGAACTGTCTAACTTACTCGGACCTGCCACAAGTACCACCACTTTCGAGGCCTTCCGGTCGTCGAGGATCGTCGCCGCGCGGTTCTCGCAGGTCCCCGCCGCAGGTTCTTGCAGGTCCTCGGCGGGCGATAAGCCGGAGGGCAGCGTGGAGGTGGCGGGCGGGGCGTGGTGAGCGCCGCCCACCGCGGTTATAAGCGCGCGCGGGCGCCGCGCCGGCACAGCGCGAGCGGCGATCGTGCACGGCGCGCAGTTCCCACCACCAGCCCTGGTCACCAGGAGGAGCGGTCCACAGTCGCGAGCGCGTCTGGCGCAGCGCATGCCCGCCGGCCCCGCAGCATCTCCCCAGGCCGGAACATGTGCATGTGCCCGGGATATTAGAGGACTTTTCCCGCGCCCGTGGTCAATTGGAAACTGTGAGTACCCTTGCACTGACTTTGCTTGATGTTCTAGCCGAACAGCTCAGGGTTTTGATTATTTTAAACTAAACTATTGTCTCCCAGTGTTATTTGTTAGAAATTTTGTAATCATGAAGGAAAATAACGAAAAATTATTTTTTGCATACATGGTTAAAGCACTTTAAACTATATTTTTATTGACTCAATGACATATTGTATATTTGCATTATTTTTTCTTAGTTTACTAAATTTACAAAAACAAGAAATCAACTAGAAAATCTCGAATTAACTATATGTTCAAAGTAACAGTAAACTTAATTTTTTAATGTGTAGAATATTTAAAGTAGTCAACTATATAATTATATCCTTATTGACGTTATACAGGGAGGCTTTTCTAAGTGTATCCATTTTATTAAATTAAATTCTAGACATAAATTTTTATATAACATTAAAATGATAAACATTTAAAATCACTCGTAATTAATTACATTACATTATTTTAACTTATTTCAAAAATTGTGTGATGGGCATTGAAATGGACAACTCATTTATTTTACGCGCGATCATTCATAAGTAACACGCACACAAGTTCGTTTCAAAAGTATACGCCGCATTTATGACTGACTACCGCATTGTCAACAAGTTTGTTTGTTGACAATGCGGCTGTTTTTTTAGGGAATAGAATTGCATTTATTTTTTTGGAAAAAAGTTTGTTTTTATTTCATTAAACGATTATACTACCGAGTCTACACCTCCTGTGTGAATTTGGCCACATTTTGAAAATCCACCCTGTATATTTTATCAATAAAACCGACTTGACGACCCGATTGGTTTAGCGGATAGTAAACCTGTCTCTTGCAACGGAGGGTATGGGTTTAATATCCACTACTCGAAAAGTAATTTGTGATTATAATAGTTTTCTTTTAGTATCTGGGTATTAGTTTGTACATAACATGTGTTTATTTACAAAATAAAAGTATGTTTATCAGTAATATAGCACCCATAGTTGCGTATTTTGGTACTAGATAACGCCGAGTGTAAATATGTCTCGAAATAATAATTTATTTACTTACAAAAGTATCACTCAAAATTTCTTAAACTTCACCCAATATTTGGAATCTCATTTAAAATAATTTAAAACCATCGACTTGTACTGATTCTGCACTAAACAGTGTCAGTTTACACATATAATAAAACAAATAAATGTGAATGTAAGTCTGTTTGTTACGCTTTCACGCCAAAACTACTCAATGGATTATTACGAAACTTTGTAAACATATTCTTAGAGGTATTAAAAGGGATGAAGGAGTCTATTTATTAAAAAAGAATATATTAAAAAAAGATATCTATTTAAAGGCAGCAACGCGGGTAGAGCCGCGGGCGAAAAGCTATAGTATAATATATAAAAACTATTTAAACTTTTTGTAAATTGCGACACAGACATTGAAAATGTGCAACATATTTGTCACACAGGTCGTCTCTCCCACTTTGTCGGCTGTTAAACTCGTCGGGTAGGCAGACGTTAGAAACCAGATGATTGATTCGCGGAATCGCCTATGTCAGCTTATTTTTGAAATTACGGGGCATTTTTCACTGAGATTTCGCCCGTAAATTAGTTTAAAATCATTGTATTAACTGCTCGGTTCGCGGATAGAGCACTACTTGTGTTTAGATTAGAATAATTCTAAAGATTATATAATATCCATAACTATTTCAACCCAATTAACCTATTGTCGCAATCATACTCGAGTCGTTTCTATATCATTTTTATAGAATACTCAATCGTTACTGGCTGGTTTGTATTGTTTATACAAGTTTGTAAGTTAACTTTTTGCATTACCTTAACTAGCCTAATATTATTAAATAACAATTATCAAATTTACCATCAACATGTCTCAGATTGAACCCATTGCTAATTCTCAGTCACGAAATTTAGAAGAAATCAAGCATTTCAAACATTACGATTTAGGTTATAGCTTAAAGATAGCGCAGGCGTTAGTAGTCAGTGAAAAAATCAACACAAATAAGTCATTATTCCCACTGGTTTTTATACGACTCTAAAGTCGGGTTAGACGCATGGTCGAAACTCGGAATAAATGGGGTTAATGGTGAATACAATCATAATCGCGGAGTCAATCATTCGTCAGTCGGTGAGGTCGAAAGGGTTCAGTAGACGGCCACTGGCGTCCAAACACCTGTGACCTTGTCCCGTGTCATCCGCCCGTCTGGATGTGACAAAACAAGACGCCTTGTTTCCGCCGCTTATCTAGACGATACGTGATGAATGGTCTAGGCAGCATCGTGTCGCTATGATTACGATCTAAGATTCATCGCCACCCACCGACAAGTGCAATAGCTGTGATAGACTAGCCAGTTCGTTTGATCAAAGTTAAAGTTACAAATGCTGGCGTCAAGTATTTGCTAAATTTAAATAGAACATTTTAAAATAAATTGACGGCCGAACAGTGACTACCTTTATAGCTGTTATCACAATAACTACAGCCTTATATCAAAAATCTCGTTTTTTAGTCTATACCCTCTCCTGTATTCTAGCCTCGTGTACCCTCTGTCCCACCACACGCCTCCAACTTTAAAAATCTCGTTTTGTACATATTCTATACCCTCTCCTGTCTTCCCGTCTCATCTACCGTCTGCTTCACCACACGCCTATAACCTCGGAACCTCTCCAATTCTCTGTTACACTACAGCAAGTCATTAAGCGGGACAGAATGGTGTTACATTATTAAATTATATAAAAACACTAGCGGACCAACAGAATTTGTCCTGTACACACGACTTAAATCCGACAAGTTATAAACAAAAAAAAAAAAAAACATTATATTGGACCGAATTGTGAATCTAAACCAATCTCGAATCTACCTGAAGATACGCAAAAAAATCATTAAAATCGGTCCAGCCGTTTAGGAGGAGTTCAGTCGCATACGCCAAAATAGTTATATATATAAAGGTACATTAAAAATCACGCGTAGAGAAACTATCGTGTAAATTGAGCAAACAATTTAGTATCTTTCAAGTAAAACGATCATAATACACTCAACAGTTGTTCGTTAACGGTGCATTGTTCGCGAAGTGTATTCAGTATGAATTTCAAATCTCTTTAGATTGTATATATCTATATTCTCGTAACGTCACGTTAATCTAACGTAAACGAGTTTCGTGTCTTAACGAGCGCAACTGTAATATTTCTGATCGTCATGCACTAAAAACTATTAGTTGGATTCGATATTCGATATCCAGACAACGGGTTCCGCGTCGTATTTGAAGCGTAATTTATACTTAAGTCTCACTAGTAATAAATAATAACCATAATATTAACTTCGGTCAGAAAAAGAATACTTTCACACAAAACAATGACATGACATGAATAACAATAGTATAGATTTCTTGTTTTTACACGAATACTATACAAATATTATGGTACGGTGACCATAAATTCTGGATAGTGTTCGAAACGTCGGGAATCCAAAAATAAAATAAAAATCAAAATTAGAACGCGATAAAATACGTAAAATATTTTCATTTAATATTAACAATTTACGTGCTTGTGATAGGAGCATAACACGAATAAATTAAATGGCATACTTCAACTGTCCTTTAAACATTCCGTTGATGAATTACCTAACTCAAAGCGATACTCCGGTAACAATACTTAATTTACGGCCGGTTCCAATATTCTATCTATCCTTAGTATTGGTTACTGGAGATAGAATTTTGACGTAAGTATTACGGAGCCAATGTCGAATATCTATCGCTCGAACCAAATCTAAAGATAGATAGAATATTAAAACCGCTAATCTGATCAGGCACGTGTAATTACTTAAGAACCTTCTGGGCCGCAATAAATCGTACTCGGTAATAAGACCACGGTCCAGACTTGGCCTCGTGACACACAACGTCATTGTTACTGATATGAATATAAAAAAAAGTTTGACGGCTTCTGCGAACACGTGGAGAAATACTATTCAAGTCTCTCGTAATAACACATGAATTGCCGTTGACCGAACGTCTGGAGTTGTGGTTCTCAAACTGGGCACGGTGTATGATTTTCCTTGTAACACTACCCTTTATTTATACGGTGGTAGATACGCAACAGGGTTCGCTGTTGCACGAATGGGCAGGTCCGTCCGGCTAAGTACGACGACCTCACGGTAGAGCGGCGTGAGGTGGAAGCGTTAGTTACACTTCTGCGTTTCGTCTGGTGAGTGAGTTAGCCGGGACCCACTTTATTAAAAGGTGGCAATCTGCATGCTGCTGGGTGTGGCAAATGTCAATGGGTGGCGGTTATCGCTTACCATCGGGTAAGCTCCGCCATGTTCTTAAATAAAAAAAGGATTCGTTCTAGAACAAAATCCTTCAGTTTGGGAAGCGCTGTTCCGGTGTATAGCTCATATGAACGTTTCGGACTCTCTACCGCTAAGTGGTAAGTGCCACTGACCGGCCGCAAACCGCCAATTGTGACTCGCCTCTACACTTGACCCGAACTTTCAACTATACTCTTATCGGTCGCGTGTTTACACTGTTCGCACATGACAGCGTGCACTAATTGAGCTTTTAAGTCCTGATAGCGCTTAAGTAACATTGCGAACATAGTATTACAGCCATTGGTCTGCTTAAATAATACGCAATATCAACGTTTATGTTCATTAATCGAACTTATTACGTATTAAGCACGGGATGAGCGATTTTTTACGCCACACATCACTACATAGAATAAAACAAAGTGGTCCCGCTTGTCTGTCTGTCCCTTTTTATGCTTAGATCTTTAAAACTACGCAACGGATCTTGATGCGTTTTTTTTACTAGATAGAATGATTCAAGAGGAAGGTTTATGTGTATACATTGCACCCGTGCGAAGCCGAGGCTGGACGCTAGTAATTATATAAAATAGCACGTTGGTATTGGTAAGCTCTCTCATTCGAAAATGAATAACGTACCTATATATATATTTTATTTGTTTATTTATTTCTGTAATAATATCAGTACAGATCATTTATATCTAATTAATGTTAGTTACATTAAGGATATTACATATACATTACATATACATTAAGTTACAGATATATTTGTTTAGATTGTTCTTGTAAGTTTTCATCATATTTTAAAAGCTTTTACAATCTTTTACGATGAACCTTTTTTATACTTATTTTACATTTCATAGACTACATCAGAACTTTATGAGTAGCTGCTAATCGAGTGTGAATAAACCTTGAAATTTTATTGGGATCTGTCGTTATGAAAAACACAATGTATGATACCATCCAGATTTGCGATAAAAAGCCGCCTCTAAAGTCTATAAGGCAGTTAACGTAATCGCGCGTTAATTGGCGATATCGACATGCGCATTCTAATGTTCACCGCTAATGCCGCTGGCACAGTTAGGGCGAGCTGTTGTCAGGCGGCCAGGCGGCTGATTGCTAAATTGCCAACGCGACTCGGCCGCATGAAGGCGCACCGAAGGCTGCCCGAGCCCAGCCGGCGAGATTCGTGTAATTATCCAATAGAGTGCGCGAGCACCGGCTCAGGGCAACCGCACGCGCCCCACGTGTGACCGCACCATAGGGTTGCCAGTTCCAGCATAATCTATATGTATATCTTCTTATATATAAAAATGGATTGCTGTTCGTTTGTCTCGTTAAAACTCGAGAACGGCTGGACCGATTTGGCTAATTTTGGTTTTGAAATATTTGTGGCAGTCCAGGGAAGGTATCAACGATGAGAAATTATGGAAAAATTGCATGGAAAATCGAAATAGCGACAATTTTGTTTTCCCATACAAACTGTACCTGTCAACCTGTCAACTATGTCTGTGTAACCTGTCAAACATTATACGTGCGTTCAGATTCTTCTAGAAATCATTTATACAGCTAGTGCAATATATAAAATTCTTGTGTCACAGTTTTAGTATTTATACTCAGACGAAACGGCTTGACCAATTTTGATGAAATTTTATATGTTTATTCGGTAGGTATGAGAATACCTAGTTTTTAACAATGTTTTATATTTTTTAATTGTTTTTTACCTTACAACAATTTAAACGGCAAAACATCGTTTGCCGAGTCAGCTAGTAATATTTATAATTATATACGTGATTGCAACCCGCTAAGAAGTTGATGTTTTTAAAATTAATTGCATTATTTTGCACATAAGCTTTCGTATATATAAAGAGGATTTAGTAATTTTATAATATACATGACACAGTAGATCACAATTTTCGTACTCATTGTTTGATGACAGCGAGTTGGACGACTTTTGTATGTTTTTTCATAGATAATATGTATGTACTTATTTATATTTTATTAATGAATCCAATAAGACGAAAATGAAACATATATCCTATAATAATAATAACTCTATTAAAAACCATATTATATTAAATTAAAAAAAAAAACATAAAAACATAGGCAATCTCATGGGTCATATAAAGTAAAATAACTTATTGACTATAACTGAAAACTTTTAATAATTGCACTATATTAAAGTATAAACTAAATAACAATTTGACGCATGGGAAATGTAATAATATTATACGATTGAATGCTGGATTTTTTAACGGCCGGAGAATAAAAATATCCAGAATGGTTTTAAATATTTATATTTCTCAGAGCTTTTCGCGAATACCGCTGTTTACAATACACAATACGATACTATTGTTTTGTTTATTTAAAAAAGTATAAATATTTTGATAAGGTGTGACTCTTATATCAACAGAATTGTTTATATATTAATTATTACACATAATAACTGAAAATTATTATGTATAAATTCAATTTTATTTTAATTAATGTTAGATTTTCCAATAGTTATAATATTCTTATTTGAATTTGTGAGAATTACAGCGTTATCAGGCACATATGGACTTTTGGATACCTTTTCAGCACATCTCCACAAAGATGTTGTTTTAGAACACGCCATCCGTTGATCGACTGACTATAACAAGGGTGCTTTTTGGGTACTAGTTTGAGTGTTACGTGAATAATTTGAACTAATAAATTAAATAACTGTCTATTCCTGTCGCTCGCCGCTTAGCACATTCTCAACCGCCCAGTACACATTGAATATATTTTTTTATTTTTTTAAAATGCGTTATTTATCGAGCGGATCAAAAATTACAATGGTTGGCAACCCTACGAGGGGCGACCGCCGCGTGCACCAGTTTCACACATCGCTCTGTAGTACGACACATCTAAGACGACTCCGTGCGTGTTGCTTTATAAAGCGATCGTATAAGGGCTTCATGACAAGTGTTAGGCATCTAGTTTGTTTATTTCGTTTATTTCAGAAAGGTTTTTTTTATTATCTTTATTTTTATGGGGTTTTTATCTATAAAGATACGCAAACCTCATCGTTACTTATACAGGCCACAACAACTTACGAAATACGAATCCTTAAGTTAGGCTTCGGCGTCGGGGGTCGTGGGTTCGATCCCCACACGGGACAACTATTTGTGTGACCAACAGATAGTTCTTTCGTATCTGGGTGTTGTCCACGTGAAATTTATGTTTGTAAAACGTCCTTACAACAAAGGACAATGTTTTAAAAAATAAAAAAAAATTAGGCATTTAGATCTGTGATACTAGCCAGCGTTAAAAATTGCAGAAGCTAATCATTATAATTTGTTAATAGTTTTATTTAAATATTTTATCTATTTCTCTATCGGATGGTATATCTATAACCTTATTTATTAACTATACCGTAGTGTTGATCATTTAAATGACTTTCAAAGTCAATGTCAACGTTCCTTTATTCAATTTAGAGTTGTTTTCATCCGTGTTGCCAACGACAAACTAGAGCAGTCCAGAGATGAACTGACCAGAAACTTTACGGTTCACTTTATATATTTTGCTTTGTTTTTTTTTCAACGTTTTATCATCAGAGATATAGATGTTACAATAAATTTATTAATGAATACCCAATTGATATAAAGAAAGTTAGTTATTACGAATGAACTGTAAGATATCGTACTGAAAGTTTAACCATTACAATTATACTAGATGATTCGTGTGAAATTCGCACATTCACCGAACGGTAATATAATAATTTGTAAACAAGTATGATTTTGAAGAATAAAGTTTTTCAGCCTATCTTTCATTTAAACAAATCATCAATAGTTGGTATTATATTATATATATTATATGTTCATGTATTCTTAAGAAAATTTCGTCGGCAAAAAAAAGTAAAGTTAAGTAATAGCCTATAAATGTCCCACTGCTGAGCATAGTCCACCACGCGACCCCACTGCGGATTGGCTGACTTCACATATTATTTGTTATTATTTCGAAAATATGCAGGTTTCCTCACGATCTTTTCCTTCACCGCCGAGCACGTGATAAGTCAGCACTTAAAATTTGCAATATCATTGGTGCTGGCACCGGGGATCGAACTCAGGTTGCTCGAGTAGGTTTTATACTGATTTAAAGGCGAGCGGCCGGACACTGAACTATCACGGCTCATCTAACGGCAAACGTAAGCATTACGTAGTATTTGATTCATTGAATTTAATCAAGAATTGTGGAAGTAACGACGTTCCGACAAAAACACCTAATATGTATATAAATAGCAATATTAATTTTTAATATTCACAAGAACTGATATAATAAAATTAAACTATTGTTACGGATTGATTGCGTTATTTTTTTATTTGCACTCGCGCATGAAGTATTCCTTACCAGTATCTATAAAAACGGCAAAAAAAAAACATGTCTGTTGTATGTGAGCCCCACTCAAATATTTTTTTATTCTGTTTTTTAGTATTTGTTGTTATAGCGGCAATAGAAATACATCATGTGTTCATAAGATACAATCTAGTGACACACGGACAGATAGACTCACGCCCAGTTTCTGAAACACTGATCATCGTAGAAGTGAACTAACCAGCTGTCAAATGGATGAAAATCCATTTGACAGATGGTTAGTTGAATCTTAGTTGAGTTGCCAAAAGGATTGTTAAACATAATGATCAGAGTGACAAACATTTGAAAATCCATTTGACAGCTGGACTGCTACGATGATCAGTGTTTCAGAAACCGGGCGAGACGGACAGACAGACAGCGGAGTCTTAGTAGTAGGGTCGCCTTTTACTCTTTGGTTACGGAACCCTAAACGGCGGACGTCTATCGCCTCAGCCTGTCCCGTTACCATATAATCCTGCAAAGTATACAAAATTTCGGGAATGATAGTCAAAAATTAACGCGACACATCTCTAAAAATAGTTTCATATAACAATGCATTACAATTATAAGTATGACATAAGATAAAAGAAATAAAAACAAGAAGTTTATCGATATGTTATTGTCGTTCATAATAATGCGTCAAAAATTCCTGTTTACGACCGAATGGAAAAATATTGTATGAAATAAATTTAACCGAACAATTGGAGCGTGGCTTAAGCGCCCTGGCAACCGCCATTCCGCACCGACAATAGGTTCGAATGCCACAGAAATATTTAAGCTTTCCACAAAAGTTGTTCCGAGCCCGGGTACACTTTGCGTCCGTAATTTCCATACCTGTGAAGCCACGCGACATACGGATCACGCTGTCGTGAATAAGAGTAAACTGCTTGTAAACGTAGTAAACTCTCGCAACATAATAAGCATACATAAATTCTAAATATCTTTATTCAAATAGATGCTTGCGCGTTCTTATGCGACGTCGAATTTTAAACAATACACAATAAGAACATAATACTCATTTTGATAACACTACCCTGTCTGTCGCAGCTTGTATCGGAATACTTGACGACGAAATTTCGAGCACGTCCAGTTTCGCGGTCAACTGGAAGGTAAGGCCAAATTGGCCTAAAAGAAGCTTGGTGTGCTCAGCAAGGCAAGACATTACTTCACGTCGGGTCAACGCCGGCCCCAAATGGATTATTGCCCTCATCTCGGGCGGGAGCTCCCATTCTACCAGCTTCATCTATTTGACCGCGTTCAACGTAAGGCGGCTTGGGTTATCGACGTTTCATCCACACGACCTTAAGCGTTCCACAACAGCGCGATTTTCAAGGCACTGCTTGCCTCGCACAAGACACAAACACTGTGGAACCAGCTGCCACCGGCGGTCTTTCCGAACAAAAAGAGAGTATAATCCCTCCTTTTTGTGCAAGCCCTTAGGTGTTGCAGATATTCATGGGCGGCGGTTAACACTTTCCATCAGGCCTCCTGTCCATTTGCCCGCTTTTTTTCCATAAATTTTCCTGGTGATCTCGATGCGCTTCGAATCAAATTAATTACATGACTCCGTTGCGCAGTTGCCAAGGTCGTCGTGGGTTCGATTCCCACACGGGACCAATATTTGTGTGACCCGCAAATAATTGTTTCGGGTGTTTGTCGACGTTAAATTTCACGTTGACCTTGCTTGTGAAACGTCCTATCAACACTGGATAATGTTATCAAACAGTAATGGCAATGTCTCTTTTTGAATCTCAATGGCATCCGTTGCGCGTGAAAATTTACTCTTTCCGATTGGGTACTGTATACTTCGATTGATGTATCCAGTGGGTCGAACAAGGTGGCGGAAGGCAGCGACCTTCCCTAGGTCTAGTAAAAC